CGCAAACACAGACTGGATAAAGAATGGATGGAGATCAGTCCTGGAGAGAGGGATTTGGGAACTTTGATGGATGAGAAATTTGATGTGACCCAACCCTGTGAGCTTGGCAGTAGCCATGGCAGGGCTCCTGCTGAGGCTTTCCATGACCCCCTGTTCTGGGACACCTCTGTGTGGCACAGCTTTCCCTGCTCCATCACGAGCAGGGCTGGCTGCAGCTCTGCAGGCTGGAACATGTGTTTAACAACAAACCCTTGCAGACATCATTTGGGACCGTCTGTAGCTCGCTCTAAAACATGTTTTAAGACTTTGCTTTGTTTTAAGACTTTTGATCTTCCTGTAAGCTCAGCCTCTTAACTTTTAGAATTTATTGGGATTTGGTTTCAGCTGTGTAAGGCCACTGGTTGCTTTTTGGTCTGGATTTTTGCACTGGGAGCCAGCTGATGGGTCATCCTTTGGGACATTGGGGTATTTGTGATTATTTTTAGCCTTTAATTGGCAGTGATCTGTACTTGGAGCAGCAGAGTGTCAAGGGCTTTTCTCTTTGTGCTCTCAAGAAGCTTTCCTTTCTCTTTCATCTGGATGCAGCTGTGTTTCCCTTCTGCTCACAGAGCACAGAGTACATGGGGAAACCAGCTCCAAGAACCATCCCAAAGGCTGGTGGGGCTCAGGGAGCAGCACTCGGGGCATGGCTGCTCCAGGACACCTGGGCCCTGCTCCGAGCAGCACCATGGACCTGCCCCCTGACCTCCACCAGCCACTTCCCTGCTCCAGGCTGCTATTTTTTTCCTCTTCTTCCCCTCTTTTGTCTTGCCCCGTTTAGCTGTAACCTCTTTCGGGCAGGAACACGGTGTGTGTGTTCATATAAAGGGCTGAGAACAATGTGGCCCAGATGGTTTGTACAAGTGCCTTCTCAGCAGCCACAGGGTTTCATTCTACAGGAAAGAAATTCTTAAAAATACAACTCTTCAGCATCTTATACTTGCAAATGTGGGCAGGAACTTCCCGAGCCTTGATATTTTGGTCCATGTCACAGAGACAAGGGGTAACACTAGAACTGTAGCTTTTCTTCTTTTAAGGAAAAAAAACAATTCCCCCCCAACCCCAATTCCCCTTTTCTCACCATTACATCTGCAGGGAGAAACTTGTAAATGTGACTGGAGCAGCTCTGACCTGCTTAAAACCAGATGGAAAAGAAAAAGGACCCAATGTTTCAACAAAAGCACTGTGAACTCCCTCTTTGGGAATCAGAGGGTGTGTGGGCTTGCCCTGTTTTTATGGCACTTCCAGTGCTTCTGAGGTTCTGGTTTGGGGTGCTGAGGCACTTGCACTTGCCTGCAGTTTGTTTCCCTTCCAGGATCCCTGGCTCAGAGCACTCGCACTGCAAACACCACAGGGCACGGCTTATTTGCTTTAAGACCACAGCTTGCTTTGGAATGTCTCCTGCCAAATTTCAGGACAATTCATTTTTTTCTTTATTTATCCCACTCCCTCCCAAAGAGAGAAACAAGTTTTCTTAGTCTCATCTTGCATCAGATTTGATTCCAGGCCAACAAATCCAGCCTAGAAGGTGCTTTCCTGAGGCTGCTTGCCTCGCTGTGACCTTTTGGGAGAGGATTCCTGTGCAAAAAGGAACGTTGTGAAATCAATTTTGTACAGGGAATCTGCCCCCATGCTGCTGCTGCCTGGGGAGGATGGGTCAGCTCTGGGTCCCTGTTGCCTGTCCAAAGGCTGCTGTGTTTTAACAAACACAGGGTTTTTTGCTCTGGAGCAGTGGGAGTCCTGGGATTTTACCAGAAGTTTCTGTTTCTAATTAGGTTATTCTCAATTTTAAAGGCCAGTGATCCCTTTATGGCACAGGGTGGAAAACCTGAGCAGTCACTGACACTGCACAGAGGTGGGTCCTGCTTTTGTCCCGAGGTCCAGGGAGCTGCTGTGTCTCCTTGGCACTCCTGGGATGAGAAAATAAATTCCTCCCAGCCCTTGGCTCATCCACGGGGCAGGCTGGTGGGCAGGGTGAGGGAGCATCGCTTGCCCTGGCCTGACTCACATGCATTTGGTTCAGGGACTTCCTGCTGCTCTGACTGCCCAGCTTGGGAAGGGGGGAATTGCAGCATGGCAGTCCCAGCATGGGGGGCTGGGCTGTGGCCTCTGGGTATGAATCTGGCCCAGCTGCCTGAAATTGGAGTTTGGAGCTGGGCCCCTCCAGGAGAGCTGCTCCTGAGGCTCTGCAGGCAGGACCAGAGCTGTGCTGTGCTGCTCCTTGCGTTTGTCTGGGCTGGGAAAGGGCAGCACAGCCTCCCTGTGCTCACAGGAAACAGGATTTAATTTTTCCCTTCTGCCTCACTTCATTGTCTGAAATTCCCTTGCAGAGGCTGGCCCATAACTCTTCAAAGAAAATAATCCTGAGTGCCGGGGCTGGAGCTCCCTGAGCTCTGGCTGTCGGCCGCCTGACTCTGTGCAAACAGTCTGGGCCTGGAATCCCCTGGGACTGAGCATAAAGGTCTGATTCAGAAGGAAAACAGGTTATGGAGCTGCAGCAGGGGCTGTGCATCACCAGCTGCTCCCCTTGCCCAGCGCGTGGCTGGAGCCGTGTCCAGGGAAAGCAGCTCCCAAAACACCGGGCAAGATCTGGGAGCTGGGAGGCCGTGGGGGAATGGCTCCAGTGTCCTGAGGAGGTGGGAGAGGCATGAGGAGGTCGGGAGGGCAGCACCATGTGCTGAACCCGAGCGGAAATCATCGGGGGAGCAGAGAATGAGCAGGATGTCACGTGTGGGCCGAGCCGCTCGGGGCTGGGGCAGAACAAAGCGCAGGGAAGCCCTGCTCCTGCCGCTCCCACCCCGCTTCCTGCTGGCACGGACACGCTGCTGGGGGAAGGGAGCACCAGGGCAGGAGCCAGCCCGTGCCTGCCCAGCTTCGGGAGAGCTGGAAGGCTCCCCGTGCCTCAGTTTCCCTCGGCTGAGGTGTGCTGCCTGCAGCAGGATGGTCTCTGGGTGTTGGTGTGCTGGGGGTGGCCTCGGAGGGCCAGGCTGCTGCTGTGCTCTAGGGATGCTCCAGAGGTGTTGGATGGAGGCTGGAGCCTGTGGGGGCAGGAGAGGGCTCCCATGATGCATGGAAGCCTTATTCTCCTGTGCTTGAACAGGCAGGTCCCACAAGTGGCACCCCAGCACTCTGTGCCTTCAGAGCAGCTCTGGTCCCTCCTGGAGAGCAGTGGCAGTGTGCCAGGATGCCGTGGAGAGTGAGGGTTCAGTGTCAGGAGGGGGCTGGGAGCCCCCCTCAGGGGCTGTCCTGCCCCTGGATCCTTAGACAGCCAGTCCTTCCCCCTGCTGAGCTCTGGCTTTGGTGTCTTTTTCCCTGGGCTGCTCTTAGAGCTCCCACATTTCCCTCTGTGCACCCTTGAGCATGAGAAATTTTTTTTGTTTTGTTATTAATAGCTATTGAGAGCCAATAAAAAGTTTTACAGGGTTTGGCCAAGCATCAGAGCTCGCAGTGTGTTCATTTCCTGGAGCTGGAGGGGGGGTTTGCTTGGATAACCCATGGGGTCAGCAGGAGTCTGTGGCCCTGGGGGCTCTTGGGAGGCTTTCAGTGGTGTCACAGGAGCCTGGAGAGGAGCAGAGAGAGGTGGGGATGGGGGAGGATAAAGGAGGGGTAGGAGGTTGGCAAGCGTCAAGCTGGGAGCCAAACCTGAGCTGGGGGAGAAATGGAGGTGTGGGTCTCTCACGTGCCCTCCCAGTGTGCGCCCGGATCCTGCGTGACCCCTCTGTCCATGCTGAGCTTCCTGACTGTCCTTCCTGCCTTCCCCACGGCACCCCTGCGAGGAGGAGCCCAGCCTGGCCTCCCCCAGTGCAGGATCCCACTCTGGGGGAATGCTGGAGGGAGAATGCAGTTCCCTCTTGGACACCTGGTTCCTCAGCACACAGAGCAGGTCCATGGTTCCTTTCATCCCAGTCTTGTGTCCAGAAGGAAGCAAGGCCTTGGTTGGCCTTGATGTTGGGCTGTTGTACCCACGTGAGGACAGGCAGCTGCACAGGGATGTGTGGAACCAGTGTCTTGGAATCATGGAATATTTGGGCTGGAGGGACCTTTAAAGGTCACCTCATCCAGCCCTGCCATGAGCAGGGCTGTGCACACGAGAAGGAGCTCCCTGATTTGGGGGGCTGAGCTGATTCCTGCCTGTCTGTGGGAGCTGAGGGGAGCCCAGATAACCCCACCAGCAGCACGGGGCTTTCCAGCAGCCTCACTGGGAGCACACAAGGCAGGCAGGGTGCTGCGCCCCTGAGCAAACAAGCTGCCATGAGCATCATTTGCTCTGGCCAGTGTCACAGCAGTGGCCCAGGCTGCAGCCAAGGGGCCTCACTCCCAGCTTTGCAATTAAAATCAGAGTTGGTTGATAAGAGGCAGTGGGATGTTAGTAAGTTCCTGTTTGCCAAGTGGGTGTTTCCCCCAGCCCAGGTGGGCTGTGGTGGGCACCCTGAGTGTGGCTGTTCCCCAGGAACCGTGTCCTGGGCAGGGCTGCTGGCACAGGATCCTGGCCCTGGATCCACAGGGACCCTCCCAGCCAGGTGAAATCATCTTCACTCCCTGGGCAGCCCCATGCCTTGCATGGTGTGCCTGTAATGCTGGGTTCATGTGTGTCCTCTGCTCCTGGGGGAGCTCTGAGTCCCTGGCTGGTGCCTCTGAATGCTTCCCAAAGCTGCCAGCAGCCCTTCCCCATGGGGACAGTTTTGTCCCCACATCACTCTTGGCTGGCTCCAGCATGGAGACACTCATTAACCGTTTCACCTCCGGCTGACCAAGCTTTTTTTAAATTCATTTGTTTGTTTATTTAAACCAACATCTCAGGCGTGGGGCACTCTGGAACGTGATGTTTATCCCATCTTCTCCCACCCCTCAATGGCAGCACTGTCATTGCTGTAGGAGTTACCTGTCTGCAGGGAGGGTGCTGGAGGGACTCTGAGGAACCCAGAGCCCACAGCCCTCTGTTGTCCTCTGCCTTCTCATACTGATTTTCTGCCTCTCCTTTTGCACAGCTGGGACACCGAGGAGCTGTGCTGGGAGGACCCTGTCTGCAGGATGTTCTCTCCACCAAAGACCTCCCTGTGACCGGCGATGATGACAGTCCCGGCGGGACCTTGGGAAGCACTAACATTTCAGTAGCCCAGCACCCGTGGACGGCCTCTTACCCCTCCTTGTGCAGACCCCGCCCTCGCAGCGCTCACCGGGATGGTCTGTTAACCACGAGGAACCCTGCTTCTTTCCTCCTCACCCTTCCATTTTCGGCAGCTCTGGGATTTGTATGGCAGCAGCGTAACCGTGGAGAGGCCGGGGTATCACAAACTTATGGATTTTGATAAGAGAGGAGGGAAAGGGGAGCTGGAGGAAGGTAAAAGAATGTCCAAGACAGGTGGAGGAAGGAGTGGTCATGGAGGCCGGGGTGCTGGAACCAACTCGGGAGTCTTAATGGTGGGTCCCAACTTCCGTGTCGGCAAGAAGATTGGATGCGGCAATTTCGGGGAGCTCCGTCTAGGTGAGAAGGGTCATCTCTGTCCTCACTGTACCCACTCCTGCCAGGATTGCCCTGGCATCTCCTCCTGCAGCAGGAGCAGCTGGCACAGGCTGTGGCCATGGGCACTGGGGTGCTGACTGGCCACACAGAGTGGAAGCATTGCCCCTTGCAGGTCACCCATGTTCTGTCACAGAGGTTCCACTTCCTTCATCCTTTCACGCTGTGCTTGATCTACCAAGGCCCATCCCAGCCCAAAGGACTGATTGCAGAGGTGTTTCCCATCTCCTCCTATGCCTGCTGCTCTCTGGGTCTGTCAGGGAGAACGCTACAGGCTGGATCTGTCTGTTGTAACTGGTGGTGGCCATGGAGATCTGGGTGTCCCCCAAATCCAGGAACACTGAGTGAGGAAGGACTCAGGAAATGTCACTGTGTGCTCACCAAATCTCACCCCACTTGTGCTCTGGGCGTGCCTGGGGACGGGGATGGATCATGGGGGCCTGAGGGATGTTCACTCTGCTGGGACAAACTTCTAGGGAGGGGCATCCGTGTTTTATCCTGGGTAAATTCTTCAGTTGTTGAAACTGGTTGTTTGAGAGACTCTCCTGAGATTCTGTGCAGGTCAGAGAAAGGGAGGAATAAAACACAAGCAATTCCATAGTCACTTTCCATTTTGAACCAGTTTTATCAGGAAACCCCTCAAGCAAACTCCTGTTTTGGAGGGTGGGGAGGTTGCTCCTCTCTCAGGACTGGGAATGTCCCTGGAGACTTTAAAGCTGTTAACCCTTTGCTTGGCATCAGGCAGCTGGGAGTCGTCTGGCAGGGCCAGGCACCTCTGTGCCAGCAGCACAGTCTGGATGTCTCCAGGAATGCGTGGGTGGAGTCCCTGCCAGCTGTAGCACTGGCCTTGGCTGTGAGGGCTTTGGGAAGGGGTTTGTGCTCTGGGAAGAGAGGCAGTCCCCAGAGCCTGTGACAGCCACAGGCCTTGTTGCTCTGTGATATTTTAAGCAGCGCCTTCTCAAACCAAGCTCTGAGCTAAACCTGCCCTGAGCTCTGAGCTAAACCTGGGCTGACCATGGGCCTGGGGAGGAGCTGTGGCAGCCCTGGCTGGGGTGAGGTCAGTTCCCACCTCCCTCTGTGGGGAGTTAATGTCAGCTCTTCCTGGCGTGACAGACTGGCTGGTGCCAGGGTCCCCGCACTCCGGCGGGATCGCCGCGTAATTGCAGAGCTGGGGAGACGCTCTGGTGAAAATCCAGCCAAGCAGTTCCCCTGTTCAGCTGTCTCTCCTGCTGTCATGAGGAGCTCTGAGCCTTCCTCCAGACCCAGGGCTTGTGGAAGGAGAGGTACTGGGGGATTTTGCCACACCAGCTGCTCCTTTCAGTTCCCCGGGTGGATCTGGACGCTCCTGCTGCCAGTGCCTCCCTGCTGGGCCAGTGGACAGAGAGTCCTGAGCTGTGCAGGGTCCACCTGTGTCCTTGCACCTCTTTTTCCTTGCTTGCCACTGAGCATTCCGCAGTGGATCTGTGTTTCTGGGTGAGATGGAACCCAGGATCCTGCTCTAGGCAGGAGGCTGGGGCTGTGCTGCTTTGCCATGCTCAGTGCTGAGGGTCAGTGTGACCCCCCTGCCTTGGCCTCCCCCTCATTTTTCAGGGGCAGCACTGAGGGGACAAGTCTGACATGGGTCTGAGGGATATCTGTCAAACTGACAGTGAGGTTGCTGCAGGGACCTGGGAGCAGTTGGGCTGGGTTTGCTCGTGGCTGCAGGGACGAGCAGCGAGCTCTCGCTCCAGGGCTCCACAGTGGTCGATTCTCACAGCGAGAGTTTGTCCTTGCCACCAGCAAGAGAAGCTTCCAGTCCCTTCACGTGGCTTTTTTGCTCTGTCACACCCTGCAGTGCCTGGCCATAACATGCTGGAGGCCTGAGCACGAGATCTCATCACAGCAGTGGAAGCCACAGCTATGTGGCTTCTCTCCTAAAATCACATCTCTCTTCCTTAGGTGTGCCTCCAAACTGCATCAGGGCTCAGGAATGCTTTCAGGATTTAGGGATTCCTCCAGCTGCAGATGAATGGCAAGGGACCAGAGGGCTCCTGCTGTGAAGTGGTGGCATGAGCAGGAATGTTCCCCAGCTCTTGCTGGGCACACAGCTTTCCCCTGGGAATAGAGAATTCAGTCCTCAAGGCTTTAGAGGCCAAACTGCAGCTCAGTATTTAAAAGCTCCCAGATCTTCTTTGGCCTTTTCCCTCTCATAACAAAGGCCACGAGATCTTGGAAAAATGTACCTGGAGGTGACTCTCCAGCTCCCAGTGGTGGGGAGGGAGGAAGGGGACACTGTCTTCCCCAAAAAGGTACCACTTCGCCCTATTTCTCCACCACACCAAGGGGCACGTGGTGATCTGTCCTTAGGGTGCTTCAGCTCAGCTGCCCCAGGTAGAGACAAATGTCCACCCATGTAGGAGGTGTCCAAAATCAAGTGATCTCTTTAAAGATGAAATATAAAAAACAATTGGCATAAGGCATTTGTGGGAAGCCAGAAGGGGAATGACGTGGGCAGGAGTTGTGGCTGCCAGGGCTGTGCATTTGGATCCTGCTTCTCCTTGTCCCTGCTGGCCTTGGCATCCCGGGCAATGCAGGGACGTGGTGCCAGTCCCAGTCGGGCAGTGCTGCCAGCCAGTTCTGCACTGGACCAGCGTGACTGGAGAGCAGGGTGGCTGCCCCAGCCCTCTGCACAGAGGGGCAGGTTGATGTTGTGCAGGTGCTGGCTCCTGTTACCTTCTTATATCCTGGAGCTTCACCCTGAGCTGGTGAGTGCTCATCCCTCCCCTTGCCAGTCTCCAGCTGTGGTCCAGCGCCAGCCCAGCTCCTCCTGGGGCTTTCCAGCAGCATCCCAGGGCAGTGCCTGCAGCCTGCAGCCCCCTGAGCTCCCCCTGGCCACGTGCTGCCCACAGCCAGCCCCACTCCCTGCCAGGGTGGGACCCTGTCCTCTGAAACACAAGGCAGCAGGACGCTGGTGGCAGTGGGTGACATGAGGGGCTGGTGGCTCGTGTGCCCTGGCAGTGGGCACAGCTGAGCTGCAGCCCTGCCAGCTCCCTGCCAGCTCCCTGCACCCTGAGAGCAGGGCCAGCACACTCACAGAGAGGGTTTGTTGGAGCAGGTTCCTCTTAGCAGCTACTCAGAAGTGCTTGGGATGGGATGGGATGGATGGGCTGGGGTAGGGGGAGAGAAGAAAACCCAGAAAGGTGAAAACTGAGCCCAGAGCACCTGGGTGCTGTGCAGGTCCTGCCCTGGTGCAGGGCAGCCGCCTCAGAGCCAGGAATTGCCCTTAGTCCTGGCATGCTCCTGAGGGCCCCTTCCTGAGCCTGCCCTGAGGCTGGTGCTGCTGCCAGCCTGTGCCATGGAGCTGCCCCAGGGCAGCCTCAGCCTAGAGCAGGGTGCAGGGAAGGATGGGGGACCTGGCAGCAGCTGCTGTTTCTGTTCTTCCAGCAGTAAACTTCTGCAAATGTGCTTTTTGCAGTTTCTCAGTACCCACCCCTCTCCCCCAACCTGCTGTATGCATTGTTGCTGGCAGCCTGGAGCCACAGCAGCTGTTTTCCTTCAAAATTAAAAGCTGGAAATTAATTATCTTTTAGAGTAAACTTGGGATTTTGGAGGGAAGAACACGGAGGGTGAGTGTGTGTGCAGTGTGTGAGCCAGGAGCAGCTCACTGCTGCAGCTGAGGCAGGGCCGTGCCAGCTGTAGGGTCATGTGCAGGTGCTGGGGACATTCCCAAGCTCTCCTGAGCTGTGGCTCTCAGGCCTGTCCTGCAGCTCCCAGGAACTCACTGGGAGTTACCTGGGGCCACAGACAGCACCTTCTGAAAAAGTGTCTGGGCTCAGTGCCCTGCTCATGACACCTTTCTTGTCTTGGCTCTGCAGAGACCTCCCTGTGAGCACCTGCAGTGTGGCCAAGGGCTCAGCCACCTCCCAGAGGCTGGAGCCACAGACCCACCACGTGCCACAGGTGGCACATGGGTGTCTTTGGAGGCTTTGGGAGAGAGGAACCTACACCATTCCTGCTGCTCCTCCCTCCCTTGCTGAAGGCTCAGACTTGCTTTTCTTCCTGCTTGTTCAGAGCCTCCTTTAGAGAAGGTCAGGTTCTAAAATAACATTTTTTCTTCTGATGGTGTTAAAGCCCAGCATTCCACAGAGCTGTCGTTGCTTGGCCTGGTGCAGCCACTGTCACTGGAGCTGCAGTGCTGGCAGGGCTGGGCCTGGCTGCCTTTGCATGGAGCTGCCTCATCCCCTGTTCCCCCACTGCATTCCCAGCTCTGGGAATTCCCATCCCCGTGCCCAGGCTCAGCTCTGTGCTGCTGCTGCACAAAGGTGCCCAGTGTGGGCACAGTGCTGTGCCACGGGCTAGGGGCAGCCTCAGTGCTCCCTTTTCTCCTCACAGCAAGGAGCTGGAGCATGGCCAGGGACAGGAATGGGGCTGGGGAAGGGTCTGGAGCACCAGGAGAGGCTGAGGGATCTGGGAAGGGGCTCAGCCTGGAGAAAAGGAAGCTCAGGGGGTCCTTGTGGCTCTGCACAACTCCTGCCAGGAGGGGACAGTTGGGGGGGTCGGGCTGTGCTCCAGGGAACAGGGACAGAAGAGGGAACAGCCTCAGGCTGGGCCAGGGGAGGTTTAGGTTGGAAATTGGGAAAATTCCTTCACAGGAAGGGCTGGGAAGCATTAGCACAGAGTGCCCAGGGTAGGAGTGAAGTCACCACCCCACAGGCGTTCAAAAACATGTGAATGTGGCACTTGGGGACATGGGCTGTTGTGAACATGGTGGTGCTGCTGGCTCATGGTTGGAGTGGTGATCTGAGAGGTCTTTCCCACCATAAAGCTCCGTGATTCCCTGGCTCTGAGCTGCTTGGATGGGGACCCAGCTGGGAGGCAGCGCAGAGCCGGGCTGACGTGCAGGAGCAGGTGCTGGGCACTGCTGCCAAATCCCTGGGGAGGGACAGCAGGGAGAGCCAGGTCAGCTTGAACACACCCTGGCCCCAGGCCTGGCTGCCTGCTCCTGCCTTCAGCCTGCTCTGATCCCACTCTGCATCCTGCAGCTGCTGCCAGCTGGGTTTGAGGCACCTCCGGCACCGAGCCGGGCAAAGGCTCCTGCAATGCAAATATTTGCTTTCTGCCACCCGTCTCACCACTTTTCTCTTTTATTTCCTTTCAAAAGCACCTTTTGTGCTGCAAGTCCTGCCTGCTCTAGTCCTCCTAGGCACTCCCTGGGCTCTGGCACATTTTGGGTGTCAAAGCTGCCCCTTTGGGAGCACTGGGACAGAGCAGGGGGCTCCAGGAGCTGGAGTGGGGAGTTCCCTGCATGGAAGGAATCCTCCCTCCTTGCTCTTTTGCTTTTTCTTTTCTCTTGGTTTATTAATTTCATGACAGGCCAGTTCTGCTATCTGCACCTTTTTTAATTCAGAAAGGGGAAGCAGAGCGTGGTGTTTTCATACCCTCTCTGCTCCCCATCTTGTCCATCAGCTGTGTCCAAGCCCCCCAAGGAAGGGCTGAACCAAAGGATTTGGACCATTTCTGGGCTGGGAGAATGCTGCCAGCTCCAGAGCCTTGTTGCTGTAGCTTTCTGTGCCACCACTGTGTGGTGGGGACAGGACAGATGCCACTGCTGGGGATTCTCCTGCCTCCATCCCTTCTCCCTCCCCGCTGAGTCCCTTTTGCAGTGTCCCTCTGGCAGTTTTCCTGCCATGTTACATTTTTCCCCCTTCAAATCCTGCCTGACCTCAGGGAAAATCCAGCTGTGAGTTTTCTGATCACATGTTGCTGCCCTGAAGGCACCAGTAATTGTTTTGGACTGAACTGTAGGGCCCTGTGGAGCCATGCACAGGCCTGGGGGTGTCCCACCTGCTCCCCAGGAAATGTCAGTGTGAGATGGAACAAACCCCCTGGATGTGGCACAAGCTGTGTTCACCAGACATTCAGTTCCTCCCTCCCTCCCTCCCAAATCCCCTCCTCCCTAATCGCTGTGAACGGATTTGCTTTATGCAGAAGCAGCAGACAAAGTGGCTTGGCAGAGGTCCCCTGGGATGGGAGAGGGTCAGGGAGGCAGCAGGACTGAGCCCCTCCTTGGCTGCAGAGCCCATCCCTGGGAGGAGCTGCTCCATTAATATCTCCCATTCATCCCTCTTCCCGTAATCCTGCCGGCCGTGGCGCTCAGCAGCTGCCTCTGATGTCACCCGGGCAGGATTTATTGCTGCTTCAGGTGGAGAGCAGCAGTGGCAGCAGATGAAATCTTACCCCAGGAGGAGCTTGTTCCCTAAGCAAATTGCTTGGAGAAAATCCGAGGAGACAGATGCAGCTCGGCCAGATACCCACATGGCAGGCAGTGGGATCGCTGGGATCTGGAGCCTGCTGCCCTTAACCCCCCCTGCCTGGGCTCCTGCACCAGGAACACTCAGAGCTGCTCCTGCAGACCTTTAATCTTGGCCTTTATGGGGCCTGGGCTGAGGCTGTGCTGCTGCTTCCCAGGTGTGTCCCCTTTTCCTTGGCCCCCTGGTTTTGGGGGATGTGGCTGTGGGCCTGGGCTGAGGCTCTGCTGCTGCTTCCCAGGTGTGTCCCCTTTTCCTTGGCCCCCTGGTTTTGGGGGGATGTGGGGGCACTCTGAGCTCAACCTTCTGTGGTTATGGTGTGAAAAGTCCTGTGCAGGTGGGGAGCCCTCCGGGGGTCCTGTACAGGGTGCTGGCTGCCACGGCTGCTCCTTCACTCCCCTGCAGCCTTCAGCTCCCCTACAGTCTGGGACATGCCATGGATCTGCTCCTGGCTTCCCCTGTGCCCTTGGGTGGGCAGGAGCATCCCCAGGATGAGGTTGATTCACACACACGTACACAGAAGCATGTGACATTCCCAGGAGTGACCCCAGCTGTGGGGGACAGATTCCCACCTGCCTGTGATGCCCTCAGACCACTGCCAGCTGTGTCAGTGCTCCTGGGTGTCCTTCCTCCCTGCCACCCTTTGCAGGATCCCTCTGGCCATAACTCAGTGTCCCCCAACTCTGGCCATCCCTCCATAGCCCCCTCCCCTGTGGGGCTGGGAGAAGCACCAAGTCTCAGCCTTGTCCCTGCCTTGCCCAGTCATGTCCCTGCTGCTGCCCCCTCCCATCAGCCTTGGCTCCAGCCCCCAGGAGCCTCCCCATCCCAGAAGAATCCACATACCCCACCTGGGATAATTAGCAGGCATGTTGCAACTCCCCACAGTGGGTTCTGCTCCTGCTCATGCCTTGAGGCCCCTTCAGGTGTTGTGGGAGCTGCAGAACCTGTTCAGAATGTTTTTGAGCCCAGGAGCCCTCAGGGACAGCGGTGGATGTGTGGTGGGGGTGATGCAGGGACTGCTTTTCATCTCCTTTTTGTGTCTCTCCCCGCAGGGAAGAATCTCTACACAAACGAATACGTAGCTATCAAATTGGTGAGTGGCTGTCAAAGAGGGGAGTTCCTGCATGATCGGGGTGGGGGATGTTCCAGCCATTGGGAAGGAGGCTTCTCCCCTTTCTCCCATGGTGTTGGGCTGGGGTGTGATGGATGTGGTGGCTGGGGGGCTGTGGGGGAGCTCTGTTCCTGCTCAGAATTGAGGGCAGTCTGGGAACACTCATGACTGCAGGAGGGGTGATCCAGGTCTGGGCAGGGACGAGCTGAGTCTTGCTTCTCCCAGCCCTCACCATGGCCTGTGCTGTGCTCAGCCAGTGCCAGCAGCAGAGAGGGTGGCCCCACTAGTACCTGGTCCCATTAATGTTTTTCCCTCTCTGGATGGGATGATCTGGCTCCCATATGGGCTGATTTTCTCTCATCATCCCCTGAGGCTTCATCTCCATTTTATACCAGTTGCTCCCAACCCCAAATGCTCTCAGTCCAGCTTCTGCCAGCATGTGAAAGATGTGTCTGACACCCAGACCCCCTGAACATCCTGCTTCCTACTTAACTGTTCTCCTTTCTCTCCTCCAAGGAACCCATAAAATCCCGGGCCCCCCAGCTGCACCTGGAGTATCGGTTCTACAAACAGCTCGGCAATGCAGGTACGGGCTGGGCTGGGCTGCCCTGGGGAGCTGCCTGCCCAGGGCACTGCTGGGAGAGAGGCTTTCCCTAAATGTGACTCTGCAGCTTCACCAGGGCACTGCTGGGAGAGAGGCTTTCCCTAAATGTGACTCTGCAGCTTCACCCCCAGCTGGAGCTCCTGCCCATCTGCTCCACAGGGAGAGGCTGGTTTTACACAGGCGCCTCGTCTCATCTTTGATCTCTTTTGATTTAGTTCTTTCCCTCCACCATCCTGCAGCAGTCAGGGATGCAGATGGAGCTGCCTCCTTCCCCCTGCTGCCACGAGCAGAGCCATGCTGGCTGTGCAGGGAGGGCAGTGCAGGACATTCCCCCTCTGCAGCCCCTGTCCCTGTCTGGCAGTGGCATGGCTGTGACAGCGTGGCCCTGCTGCAGCCCTGCACAGCCCCTGCTCCATCTCTTGCAGAAGGAATTCCTCAGGTTTACTACTTTGGCCCCTGTGGGAAGTACAACGCCATGGTGTTGGAGCTGCTTGGACCCAGCCTGGAAGATCTCTTTGATCTGTGTGACCGAACCTTCACGCTCAAGACCGTCCTGATGATCGCGATCCAGCTGGTGAGTGCAGCCCTGCACAGCTCCCCTGCAGCCCTGCACCTCCCCTGCAGCCCTGCACAGCTCCTCTGCAGCCCTGCAACTCCTCTGCAGCCCTGCACCTCTCCTGCAGCCCTGCACCTCCCCTGCAGCATTGCACTGCCCCCCTGCAGCCCTGCACGGCTGCCCTGGGGAGCAGGGGGTGTGTGGGCACCGTGGGCAGGCAGCATGGGCATCCCACGGGGAATATGCTGGCACAACCCAGCCTGGCTCACCCATACCTCACCCCCTCCCTGCTGGGGGAGGGCTTTCCACCCTTCACAGCCCCTCTCTGAGCCTTGACAAGCATCTAAGTGGCCCAGAGCATCTCACTGTGTGCCCAGGGTGCAGCTGGCCTGGGGCTGGCTCCCATGGTGGGAAGGAGCCCATGTGCCCGTCCTTGGGGCTGAGGGGAGCAGGGGCAAGGTGGCTGGAGCAGGGCCCAGGGCAGGCGTGTGCAGGACACAGGGTGGGACTCTGCCCTGGCACTGACACCTGCTTTTGCCCCAGATCACACGGATGGAGTATGTCCACACCAAAAGCCTGATCTACAGAGATGTCAAGCCAGAGAACTTCCTGGTGGGGCGGCCGGGCAGCAAGCGGCAGCACACCATCCACATCATCGATTTTGGCCTGGCCAAAGAGTATATCGACCCCGAGACCAAAAAACACATCCCCTACCGAGAGCACAAGAGCCTGACAGGGACAGCACGTTACATGAGCATCAACACCCACCTGGGGAAAGGTGTGTGGGCACGGGCAGCCAGCCCTGCCTCCTGGCTGGAGGGGAGGGACTGCAGGGCAGGGGTGCCAGAGGTGGGCATGGGGACAAGCTGCCTCTCCTGCTCTTCAGGGTGCTGGCAGAACACATGGGGTGCTGCAGGATCTGGGGGCTGGACAGGGACAGTGGCTGTAGTGGGAACTGACCCATGTCTCTTTTTCTCCGTGCAGAACAAAGCCGCAGGGACGACCTGGAAGCATTAGGGCACATGTTTATGTACTTCCTCCGTGGGAGCCTGCCTTGGCAAGGCCTCAAGGTAACTGCCAGCTCCTGCTGCCCCTGGGCATGGCTTCCTGTGGGTGTGGCTCTGCCCTGGCATGGGGAGGGGAAGGTTTGGCCCCTGGGGTGTTGGAGGGTTAGCACCCTGCCAGCTCGGAGCCCCATGCCAGGCCCTTGCAGTGCTGAGCAGCTGCAGGTCTCCCTGTGTCCCCCCAGCTCTCACAGTGGCTGTCCTGGAAACCCTGGGGCTCCTCCAGAGCTGCCTGGGGAGGGAATTTCCTGGGAAGCAGTTACCTAGGAAAGGGGGCCCATAAAATCATGCATGGTGTGACAGCCCAGGGCAGTGCCTGGCCCCTGTGCTGACCTGCCCTGTCCCCGCCAGGCCGACACACTAAAGGAGAGGTACCAGAAGATTGGTGACACCAAAAGAGCCACCCCGGTGGAGGTGCTCTGTGAGAACTTCCCAGGTGAGAGCAGTGCCCAGCCCAGCCCCCCGCCCCGAGCCCCCTGTGCCCTGTCCCTGAGCCCCGTGTCCCCGCAGAGGAGATGGCCACGTACCTGCGCTACGTGCGGCGCCTGGATTTCTTCGAGAAGCCCGACTACGACTACCTGAGGAAGCTCTTCACAGACTTGTTCGAGAGGAACGGTTACGTGTTCGACTACGAATACGACTGGGCAGGGAAACCTCTGGTGAGTGCTCAGGGCTGGGGGCAGAGGGGAGGCACCCCAGGGAGCAGGGGCAGCGGGGTTAGTGGCAGCAGCCAGGGAGGAGGTGGCTCTCAGCCATCCCTGCCACACGCTGTGTCCAGGGGACCAGCTCCACCCTCCTCACCAGTCACAGCTCCAGGGCTGTGACACAGGAATCTGAGGCTTTGGAGCCAAGGGGACCCCAGCAGCCGAGCTGGCACCTCACTTTCTGCCATGGGTGCATTCCTTGGGCTCGCTGCAGCCAGATACCAAGCGTGGCACTGCTGGGGCAGGGGCAGTGATCAGGCCCTGGTTCTGGGGGGTTTTGCACGTTTGGCCAGAGGTTGGATCTGGCTGCGGGTGTTGGGAGGGCTTGGTGCTGCACTGACATTGTCCTTTGTGTCCCCAGCCCACCCCCATTGGCACGATGCACAGCGAGGTGCAGGTGCAGCCCCCGAACAGAGACAAAGCACAGCCACACACCAAACACCAGGTGAGCAGTGGCAGGGCCTGGCTGGGGCAGGGGCCGTGGGCTGGGCAGCTCAGGCTGCAGCTCCAGGGACGTGGAGCCAGCAGGGATGGTGGCAGGGACTGGAACATGGTTTACCCCCAGTGCTGTCTGTGGGAGAGTTCCCTCCCACAGCTCTGGGTCTGTGGCTCGCTGGAGCCCAGGGCAATGTCCCTGTGGCCTGGCAGAAGAGTGGGGGCTGTAGTGTGACTGGGAGGTGCCAGGCCTGGACATCAGCTGGTGAGGAGCAGGGTCCAGCCTGGGGTGTGGGGGAAAGCTTGGTGCAGGCTGAGCCACCTCTGCTAAGGACCCTGTCCCCATGGGGTGACTCGCTGCTCTGCTTGTGGTGCCCTTCCATTGATGGGACAGTGACATGGGACAAGGGAGGGCCGGCCTGGGGGGCAGCTTGGCAGCATTTTGCCCCATGCTGGGGTTGTCTTTGTTCTGGGAACGGGCAGGGCACAGTGAGCCCAGCCCAGGGCAGGGATGAGGCAGAGCTGTGTGGGAAAGGGGCCAGGCTGCTCAGAACTGCTCCAGTGCTGTGGCCTGTCCTGCCCTGGTGCAGGACACGTGTCTCTGGCACTGCTGCCACCGAGAGCAAACCTCATGTGTTTCCCAGCAGTCCTGTACAAGCCCTTGTCCTCCCAAACCTCCTTGGGGGCAGAGCACCTGCAAAGGGGCTGGAGCAGGGGGTGCAGCACCCTGTCCTCCCCACTCTGCTCCTGCCCAGCACAGGGAGCCTGGCACTCACCTGCTCTCACCGGCAGAGCTTCCTTAGGGAGAGGAAAACATCTTCAAATCACCTCTGGCTCATTTCTGGGAGCTCGCTCCCAGTAAGGTCTGCTCTGTGCCCCAGCACCAGGGAAGTGCCATGCTGGACATCTCCAGAGTAGGGGGAAGAGCAAAGCACAGAGCTCCTGGAGCATGGAGCAGCGTCCAGCCTGGGGACACAGGGTGTCCCCGCAGCTCTGGGGCCGTGCTGTGCTCACTGGGGCAGGGTTTGGCCCAGCCCGTGCCACACGGGCCGTGCCGGGCCCTGCGTCGTCCTGGGGATGCGGCGTCACCTGGGCCTGGCTGCAGCTCCGGCTCTGCTGCCCCAGCCCGCTCCCAAACACGGCCACCAGCCCTGCTGGAGCTGGCCCTGCTCCGGGGGCTGCGGGGGCTGGCCGTGGGGGTGTGTGTGTAGGTGGCAGGGGGACACAGACCCCCGTTGTCACCACAGGGACCGCTCTGGGAGCCACCAGGATGGTGCTGCACGGGTGCCCTCCGCAATCACCAACTCGAGCTGCTCCGGTCATGATTTTGCTTTTGCATGTCTTATTTTCTCGACTCCCTTTGCCACTTTTCCCACCCCTTCCCTCCACTTCTCCCTTCTCTTCCCCATTCTCCCTCTTTTCTTTTGTTTCTTTTCATTCTGTTCCTCCTGCCTGTCGCGAGCAGCCGCCCGAGGGGACGGAGTTGTGGGATCCTCAGGCCGGTGGGCAGCCTGCCGAGGAGCCTTTGGGAGCTCACCTGGCAGCCGGCAGGCTCGGGGGGTCCGTCCAGGTACACGAAACCACGCGCCTGGGGCAGGGGCGGGCACGGGAGGGAGCGGAGCCACCCTGGGCCGCGTGGCCGCCCGCAGAGCCGGGACCAGCCCCGCTCCCCCGCCCCGGGGCCACACATCCTGGGGCCTGCCCCGGCTGCAGCACGGACTGCCTGTCCCCGTGCTGTGAGGGGATGGTCACGGCTCGCAGACGAGGCTGGTGCTGCTTCCCAGGGGCTGCTGGGCTCCCCTGGTGCTGCCAGGGGGAATTAGAGGGTGGTTGGAGATGGATGGATGGAGGATGGATGGATGGATGGATGGATGGATGGATGGATGGATGGATGGATGGATGGATGGATGGCAGGCACACTGCAGCACGGCGGCTGGGTGGGCATTGCTCTGCCCCCAGTGCCACTCGTCTGAGCAGGGACTTCCCTGCGCCTCCTTGACTGGAGCCCTGGCTCCAAGCCCTGCTTCTCCTCCCTTCCTGGGCACTCCTTGGCCGTGTCCCTGCCATGGCCCTGCCTCGGTCCTGTGCTGGCGCCGTCAGCCCCGCGCTCGCCGCCTCCTGCCCGCTGCCGCTCAGCCCTGCCTTGGCCCGGGGGTCCCTCCCTCATGGATGGTGGGACATCCATGCCGGGTCCCCTGGCTGGGCCTGCGCCGCTGCCTCTGTCTGTGCTTCCGTGCCCGCCGCTCTTGCTCGTTCCTGCTGCTCCACAGTGACTCTGCTGGTGCTCGGCCCCAGGCTTGGGCACAGCTCCCGCTGGTGCTGTCACGGGGCCGGGCACTCCGTGGGGCCGGGCACTCCGAGGGCCCAGCCCATGCTCTGCCTCGCTCCTCCTGTCCCTCATCCCCTTCCTCCTCCCCACTCCTGCCCTGCAAACCCTCCTGCCGCGCTCCGCCTGTGCCCGGCACTGCGGGGTGATGTGCCGGTTCTCTGTGCTGGTGTCAGGGGCTGGAGCCTGACTTGGCCCTGCTGGCTGGGCACTGGCTGTCGGTGGCAGCTCCTCCAAGGGCTGGGGAAGGCCGAGGGTCCTCGCTGGGGCCGAGCAGCTTGGAGAGTGTTTGGCCTGTGCATCCCCAGGGAGCTCCTGGCTTTGCCTGTGGGCAGCAGGCACAGGATGGCGATTCAGTTGCCTTGGTGGCTTGGATGTCCTCGTGGCCCTGGCACTGTGGCTGACCCTGCTGCCCTGGTGAGTGGGCAGGAGCTCAGGGATGCCTGAGCCCACAGGGTAGGCACTGGGCTGAGTCTTGGTGCTAGGAAGCAGAAGTTGTGTCCAGATGCTCAGCTGTGGGGAAGGGCTCCTTGGAGCTGTCAGCTTTCCCAGGCCATGTCTCTCACCCACACTGGAGCTGGCTGCCAGCAAGCCCCTCTCCTGGTGCGGGGGCTCCCAGGAGCTGGGATCCTTCCAGGGGCGTTCTAAGGGGCTCAGAGCTCTCTGTGCAAGGGGGCTCTTGGGGAGAGCTCAGCACTGAGGCCGAGCACTGCCCTCACCACTGGGTGAGGGCACCATCCTGCCACAAAGGGCACTGCGGTGCTCCTGGGCAGAGCTGGTTGGTCTCCTGGGTGGCTCCTCTGCCCCCCAGGGAGGGGAAGGGCTGCAGACCCCCGGGCTGTCCCTGCTGACACTCATCTCTCCCCAGGTGATGAGCTCCACCAACGGAGAGCTGAACACAGATGACCCGACGGCAGGACATTCGAACGCCCCCATCACAGCCCCCACCGAGGTGGAGGTGACAGACGATACAAAGTAAGGCCCCAGCCCTGCTGCCCCAGGATGCCTTGTCCAGTGCTCTCCTGGGAGCCACAGCCCAGCTGTCCCCTGCCACCCCATGAGGGGTGTCCCTGCAGGGCCACCACCACCCCAGCCCTTCCACCTCGCCCTGCCCAAGGCTCCTGCACAGAGGGGCATGGATGGATCTGGGACTGCTCCTTCTCCGGAGTCCCTGCCTGGTCCTGGCTCATGGCCTTGTGTGCCACAGTCAGTGTCACTCCCCAGTCAGTGCCATTTGCTGTGGCAGGTGTCACTTTTGGTGGCCGTTGTGGTGCTCCCAGTCCAGCCCCTGCCATGTGCCAGGGGCACTTGGTGCAGCAGCTCTGCCCACGTGAGGCACCGAGGGGTTTCTGTCCTCCCTGCCCCGGGGCTGCTGCACCCTCCGTGCCGTGGCCCCGGGGCTGACGGGTCCCCTCTGTCCCCAGGTGCTGCTGTTTCTTCAAGAGAAGGAAGAGGAAAACCACCAAGCGTCGCAAGTGAGCTGCCGGCCGGGCGGAGCGGCGAGCGATGGCTCCTCTCCCTCTGGCCGAGGCTGGATGTTGCCCCGCGGAGCCAGCGGCCCCTCGGGCTGGACGGGGCCGGGGGGCCGGGCCGGACGGGTCCCCCAGCGCCCCGCGCGCAGCTGGGGAGCGGGGCCTCCCCAAACTGCTTGTCCTTTCCTCCGCCACTCGTGGCCGTTTACTCGAACCAAGCCCAACTTCGCTGAAGTTCCTGCGTCCGTCAAACAGAAAAAAAGAAGAAGAGAAAAACCCACGGCGTCACTTGCTTTGAGTTTATAACCAGTCTGAAATGGGGATCAACTACAGACTCTGACCCGTCGCTGTCAGAAGAAGATGAAGACAATTTCAAGAGCAGTGGGCTAAGGAGGAATTTTTTTTTTTTCTGTTGCTTCTTTGTCTCTTAAGTTAATTTAAAGTGAGTCTCGGTGCAGAGTGCTGAGTCGTCAGTCTTTGACCGTCATCTTCAGTGTTACCGAATTCTGCTCTTCCTTCCGGCCCCCCGCGGGTCCCCTCGGTCCGGCCGTCGGTGGCAGCGCCGGGCTCGCTCCGGCCCCGCTCGGGCGGGGAGAGCCGGGGCGCGCGGGGCGGGGAGAGGAAACGCGTTTACAGTTCATTTACGATGCACTTTTGCGAGCAATACAGGCGCCGTCCGGTCCCGCCGAGAGCAGGTCCGAGACTCCCAGGGGCTGGGGGACACAGGGACAGGAACGGCCGAGACCAAAGGGACCCATGAATGGCGGTGGCAAAGCAGGGAGGGGAAGCAAAGCAGCCTCGTCTCTGGTGCTGCCATGTCTTGGGGCTGGATGTTTCCACAACAGCTGTAGGTGCGGGCAGGGCTTGATCGGCCTCTTGGTTTTACAGCCCGAGGCCCCGCGGCCGCTCCGGGGGCCGGGCCGGGCGGTGCAGGGCGCCGGGGTGGAGCGGCTCTGCCAGCCGGGGATCCCCACCACGGCATCCCCGCTGTGGGCTCCTCCCGGCCTCTCCTGGGGCTGGGGGAAATGCAGGTTTTGGAATGACACACGGACACCCCGCACCCCCCTGTTCCTCGCCACCCCAGGGCACTGCAGCTCCCCACCTGACTGACCCCGTGCGCTGTCTGTGTATTGATCGTGACACTTTGGGGGGGGACACACACTTATCTTTACCAAAACCCTGTTGTTCTGCCCCAGGAGAAGGGGCTGAGGCTGTGCTGGGGGGGCGGGGGAGGGATGGGACCATCTGTGGCTGCTTTGAAACATTTGTCCAAACTGACCATCTCGGGGGGCTGGAGACCCCGGATTGTGGAGGGGCTGGGGGGGCCTGGGGTCTCCCACGGGGCCGTGCCCTCCCCACGGCCCCTCTTCATCCTGAATTCGGGATTGACCCCGGCTTTGGCTTGTCCGGGCTGCGGCCCCAGCTGCTGCTGTGTCCCTGGCCAGGCAGGAAGGGGACGTGCAACGTTTGACCTCGTGTCCCCAGCGAGGCGAACAAACGAATTTTAAAAATCGCCTTAAAATTTTCACTGGAAGTGGTCCCTTGTCAGCGCGCCGGCTCAGAGCAGCCCCGGCCGAGGCCGAAGAGGAGCCGCGGAGAGGAAGGGAAGCGGCCCCAGGGCGTGCCCGGAGTGCCCGGCTCCGTGCGCGCTCCCTCGGGGCCGGCCCGAGCCCGGGGCTCTCTGTCCTTCCAGCGAGGAGTCCAAATACTGCGATTGTACGTGAGAGCGTTTGTTCCATTGCGAGTTTAGTTACTGCTTTAAAACCAAGTGTACAGGTATGGCATTTCAATTTCTCTGATGCTTCCTGGAAGCCATAGAATTTAGGGGCTTTTTTTTAATAAAAACAAAAAAATAAAATAAAAAAAAAATCTTTAAAACCCAACACATTCTTCTGTGCTTCATTGTGTGGCTCCCAAGGGTGAGGACATTGCCCAAGCAGTGGGTGGGAGCAGCCCCAGCCCCTCGCAGGGACTCGCTGCCCTTTCCTGAAGCAGCAGGAGGAAAATCTCAGGGGGACAGGTCAGGGAACAGCAGCACAGCCGATGGCCCTGGGCAGCCCTCCCAGGCTCCCGGCAGATGCTCCTGCAAAGCCACTCAGGCTTTTTATTCCTCAAGGTAGTGAGGAAGGGGATGGTGCAGGAGGGTGATTCCCAGCTGAGCCAGTGCTCCAGCAGGGACCGGGCTGGGCTGGGCCCCCCTGCTCCGGGCACTGCAGGGCCCCGAGGCCGAGCTCCAGCACGGGTGAGCAGCCGTGGGAGCTGTGCTGGGCACGGAGCAGAGCCCAGCTCCCACCCTGCTGCAGCAGCCCCCACAGCCTCTCTGTGCTGGGAATAACAGGACAGAGGATCTGCCTTCCCCCAGGCCTGGACCCCCAAAGGCTGAGGCAGCTTTTGTACATTTGTCAAAAACCTCCAATTCACGTTTAAGAAATGCAGTCATAAAGTGACATCACCCAGAGCAGAGTGGGCCCAGCCTGTGCCATCCTGCTGCCCTCCCTCCAGCCTCAGAGCCCGAGGGTCTGCACTCCCCAGCAGTGACTGCCAGGCTTCAGGAGGCCCGAGGATCTGGCTCATCCCACACCCCATGGATGGGAAGCTGAGGACGCCCCACCCTCGGCTGGGGGAGATGGGCCAGGGGCCCGCTTGGCCAAGATCTCCCCTGCACCATTCTCCTCCCCTCACAAAGAAACTTCATAAAGACAACCTCGATGTCTTTATTGTTTTCCTATTTACAAATCACAAAGCTGGCCGAAAAGCAGAGTGTGAACACGGGACGAGAGCATCGGATACATTCATCAAGTAGCACAGGAGCCGGGCGGGCCCGCTCTGCCGAAGGTGACGTGGTACAACAGAATGGCTCATACTTCTGGGAACAGGCATGTCCAACAAGGAATTACATTCATCTATCTACAAAAGCCAGAATTGCATCAAACTGCAGAAAAGCCGTAAGAACAGAAGTTGCTCAGGTGTAGTTCAGAGTTTGACTCCTCTCCCTCTGTGACAGGACAAGCTGCCTGACCTGCCCTGCGCAGGGAGGGCAGGAAGGTGGGATTTGGGACGAGAATTTGCGTAACAAAATAGTCATGAGAACAGAACTTGCAGGGAGCAGCCAGCGGGAGGCTCCCCCTGCAGCTGGGCAGGGCCTGCCCCAGCCCTGCTCTTCCCAGAGCCAAGTACCCAGCTCTGCTTCTCTCAAATTCCAATTATTCCACTATTTCCACCTGTACCCGACGGCCCGAGGTGCAGAACCCCGATCAGAGCCCCTGGGGAAGGTGCAGCCCCAGCACGGGCCTGGCTGCCAGCAGTGACATTCCCACCCCCTTGGGAGAGGGGTGGTGGCAGGAGCAGGCACAGACAGCCCGACGGCCACGGAGCCTGGGCTGGGACTCCATCTCACAGCACTGTCTGCATTGCACAGAGTCGGGCTCAGTCACCAGGTCATGGACCCAGGGCTGGGATTTTTTTCTATTTTTTTAGTACTGGCCATATTAGAACCATCCCACCTGGAAGCAGGCTGACCATACATAGCTCACAGCATCTCCCTGGAGCACAGAACACACTCTGGGCACCTTAACTGGTGAGGAGATGCAGGGCAGTCCCAGGCTGCTGCTGCACGGCTGAGGAGGAGACTCCAGCCAGCACTGCCCCAGGATCCTGGCTGGGCAGCAGGAGGAGGAGGAGCTGTGCTCCAGCCAAGGAGAGCCAGGTTTCGACTTCCAGCAGTGAAATCCAGTGGCAGCAGCTGCCCAGAGAGTGGCAGTGGCTCCGTGTGCTGGAGCAGGAGGTTGGAGAAGGGGCCCTGAGGCAGCACCACCCCAGCCAGTCCCACGCAGACCCCGCTGGCTCTGGTCTTTCTGCCAGGCTGGGATTAATTCCAGCTTCTTCTGCAAAGGAGGGGAGGAAGAGTCTCGTGGTCTTCACTCGTGGGCAGTGAGGGTGGGGCTGGTCAGGCAGCCCAGGGCCAGCCACCCTCTGTGACAGCCACGGGGAAAAGCAGCTGGCCCTGAACAAGGGGTATCTTCAAGGTCACCGAGCTCCACAGCTCAACAGGTGATGTTTGTGATCTCCCCCCTGTGCCTGGCCAACAGGCAGTGTGCAAACACACACCAGCACAGAGAATATTCCACCTTTTCCTGAACCATTTGGTAAATCCTTGTCCATCTGCTGCATTACAGGTAACAGGCAGGTGCACATCCAGCCTCTCTTCCTGCTGCCATCAGGGCAGCAGGGGCGAGGCAGCAATGCACAGGAACAGAGGGAATGCATGGAAACGTGCATGGAAACTGCAGGAATGCCCAGGAACAGCTGAGGCAGGTGCCCTTCTGCTTCAACTGACAAACCCTGGCACTCTGCAAAGGACAACAACCAGTAACAACAGAGCTGGGGCTGCTCAGGGTGAGCTGAGCATCACCAGCACTTGGGCTGTGCCAGGGGTGTGGAAGCAGCACCACGGGGACTCAGAATGCAGGAGGAGCTGCCCAGCCAGGCTGCTGCCCCTTACCCTCTGCAGGGAGGTCACCTCGCTGCCACCAACTGCCCGAGGTGAAGATTGTCACAGATCAGTGGGAAGAGCAGGAAAATGCCTCAGTCCCTCCAGAGGAGCTCAGCTTTGAGGTCTCCAAGCCTGTGTAGTGCTGGAACAGCAAAGCCTCAGGGAAAAGGCCACTTTCCATGACTTTTGAAGGTGGCTCTGTGTGCTGAGGCTGCTGGGAGGGAGGGAAGGTGCTGGACACAGGCTGGCCAAGCCCTGCAGGCTGGCCTGGACTGCTGAGCTGGAGCAGAGCAGAGGCCACCCAGCCCTAACCGAGTCTGCCTGCAGGAGCATCTCCTCATGGCAAGTGAAACCACAACCAGAGCCACTCGTTGCCTTGTTTCTGACCGGTGGAAAAGCATCTACATTCATTACAGTCCAAAAAACGCACGTTGTTAGATAGGGTTAATCAGGAGGTGAAAAACAACAAGCCACAGACAACCTACAAATGGTACTGGGACACCAGCTGGGCTGCATGGGACACCAGCTGGGCTGGCACCTGGGAGCAGCAGCAGCACTAGCACAAGGCAGAACATGAGCTTTGAAATGATTTCACTGTGACCTTTGGCTAGTGTGGCTCCAATTGGTGTGGTCAAACTCAGCCAGAGATTTCGTTTGGGAGGCGACAGGGAAGAGTCGAGTCCAGGGCGGGCTGGGCAGTGGCACTATGTGTAGAAGATGATCTCTGGGATTTGTCCATCCTCCACGGAGGTGCCGTTGTTGTTCCCAGCCGCGTAACAGAACGTAAAGCAGGTTTTGGCTCCCGTTGTTGGTGATTCATGGATCACTTTGCGCAGTCCTTTGGTTCCATAGTGGGAATCTGGACCCTGCAGGGGTCACAGAAGACAAGAACAGGTCAGGACCCTGCTGCTGCCCAGCCTCTCTGGTGGGTTTGGAGCTGTGGGAATGTCAGTTCCTCCCTTTTCCTCCTGGATTTGCACCTCAGGTATTCTGAGCTCAATCTCATCTCTATCAGAACTTAACACTAATTTAACCAGGTCTCAACAGCTACATATGAACTTTTTGAGGCCACTGCAGCAGGCTTTGCATTACACACCTGCAGGACTGACAGCTCAGCTGTCCACACCAAAACCACCACCCCATCCCCTCCCCAGTGAAACACCAGTTCAGTGCTGTGGGACAAGTCAAAAACCAGCTCTGAATGCTGGGGGTGAACGAGCTCACGGCAGCAGCAGGGCACACTCAGACCTTGGAGATTGCACCACTGGCCTCGAGGGACACAGAGGTTGCACTGATGTCTTACAGCAGGTGCCCTCAGCTGCCTGCAGCTCTCCCCACCCCAGGTGGTACCTTTAGAGTAGCACAGGCTGTGTAGTTGACGTTGGGTAAAATCTCAACAGGCTCCTTGAACATGACCCGGAAGGTGTTGGACGATCCGTCACAGCTGAAGCCGGTGTCGTTCTGCCCCAGGACCGTGTTGCTGTCTGTGTGGATGATCTGCAGCACAGATCATCCATGAAAGGGTCAGCTTTCATCTGGACACTGCCCATGAGAGTGTCCCTGAGCTAGGCCAAGCCCCAGGCACGCCCAGATGGACCAGCCCTGTGATGCCTGCACTGTCCCTCACTCCTGTCACCCATCAATGATCACAGAACCACAGAATCCCACGTTTGGGTTGGGATGGACCTTAAGGATCATCCATCTCCAACCTTCCTGCCAGGGGCAGGGATGCCACCCACTATCCCAGGTTGCTTTAAGCCACATCCTGGACTTGAACTTTCAGGGGTGAGGCAGCCACAGCTGCTCTGGGCCTCTCTGAGCTCTCTGAGCTGTGGGCTCAGGCCCCAGACAGCCCAGAACGCCCCCTCCTCACCCCCAGGCTGGCAGAGCACTGCAAGCCCACATTGTGCTCAGACCCTTCTCCCCCAAGAGCTCAGGGCAGCAGGATGAGCCCTGACAATCAGGGAAGAAATGCTGACAGCCTGCCCTGTGTGCTGGAGTGACTCTCGTGGGGACAGTCCTCCTCCAGTGACCCACACTGGGGTGGCACACGGGCACCCAGAACAGGCACCAGCCTGATCCACGGGATCCACCTGCTCTTTGGACAAGTTGGAGACAACTGAGCCTCTCCCAGCCTGCTCAGGGTGGGAAATCATGCACAGCTGCTGCCCAAACTGCCTCCCAACTGCCCCAAAGCTGGGAGCAGACCTGGGGAGATGCTGCAGTGACATGTGCAATAAAATCAAGAGCAATAATCCTTCTGATCCCCAGTGCCCCATCTGGCCCTTGCTACATCTGCCAGCCCCCTGCCCAGAGAAACACAGTCCCTCTGAACCTTTTGTTTTGTCACAGATTCACTAAAATGTGTTTGTCACCCCCAAAACAGCCGGG